TTTAGAACGCGAGCCTTAGTCGGACTATTACAGACTACGGCTGCTTCATTTTTTTTTTTATCATTAATCTACTATTCTCCTTTGTTTTGCAGGCGGAGAAGAGATTGGAGACATCTTCCGACGCTTTCAAACCAGGGCAGGGGAATCCCTTCCCCATTTTTCAGTTTGGAGGCTGACTATCCGTCAGATGTACGTCAATCGAGCTCGCTACCTCTCTCAGGTTCGGAACTTTAGGTTTTTACTATAACAAACCTTCCTTGTTAAGTAAAATTTTGTCTGAATGACAATTTTTTTTTTGTTTTACTTTGAAGGCGTTTATGGAGACTAATGGAATGATCTTCCATTATGAGAATCTTCTTCACCAAGCAAAGAAAGAAACCGCAAAGGCTAGGAAGGAGATTGACGAACTTAAATCTGTCAATCAGCCTGACCGACTTGAACAGGCGAAAACATTCGAGTCGTCTTTTGAAGATATGAAGAAGACTTTGGCGGCTAACGAGCAACGTCTCAGAATTGCGAATGCTGAAAGGGATTCTGCGAGGTCTGACGCTCTTCGCTTGAAGGCTGAGCTAGAACAGGCCACGGCTTTGTCCGAAGAAGCGAACCACAAGGCCGACTTATTAGTCAAAACTAGGGTTCGCGAGATCGCTGAAGCCGAGCATAACGCTCGAGAAGAGATAAAGAGCTTTGGTAGGCAATTTATTCAGTCTATCGTGAAGTTTATCGAAGATGAAGAGGTCTGGATTAAACTTCAAACTGATCGAGCCGAGCTGAAGAGTAACCTAGACCTGATTGGGGAACTAGAGAATGGAAGAGTTTCGTTCGAGAATGAGAGGAGGGAAGTTACTGTCGAACTCGCTGTAGTTGAATCGGAGTTATCCTCGGGTTCACGACCTACTCTCGATCTGAAACAATTTTCTTTGGTATTTGGAGAGTCCTCCTCTCAATTCGAGATAGGTGAAAGTTCTCGACGAAATGAAGGTACTCCAGAATCAGAGGAACGCTCTTAAAGAATTGTTTTGTTGAGTTCATGAGGACTACTCCGTTTGACGGAAATGTTTTGTTTACTTAGTGTGTTGGAACACAATCATGTACATGCACTTGCATATGATTTTTTTTTATTATTTAAGTAAAACGTTTGGATGCGATTCTAGGTTTGCCAGTCCTAGCCCACCAAAGAGGTTTTATGAATTGTGAGAGATGAGCAGATCAGGCTCACTTGCCTTTTTTAAAGAAAAAACCTTAAAAAGTATTTTTCCTCGGTCTCTCGGACGTGAGGATGGAGCTCGGCTTAAGCTTCTTATCGAGGGATAAGACTTTTATAATTCATGAGAATTTTTGCCATAAAGATGACTAGGCGATGGTTTTGATCATAGCCTAAAAATGGCTTTAAACGTGTTGGGCCACGTTTAATTGGACTCGAAGTCTGTTCTTAACAGGTCGTACTTTTTTTCTTTAAAAGAATTCTGAAGGACTTTCGCAGTTTATTGTAAGAGAAACTGAACTATGCCGCTATCCTCTTTCAGATCCAGTTCAAGAATAACAACTTCGAACGGGGATCCATTGTTTGAATCCGAAGATAGATTCTCTCCAAAGGGAGTTATTCACCCTACATTTTTCCATTTCCGGATAGGGAAAGAAAGGGTCAAATGTTATGACTTCTTGGAAAAGGTTTCCTTTCTAATTCTTAGTCTTTTCAGAAGACTGTATATTCTTTTTCAGACAAAATGTTTGTTCAAACAGATCGTCGGGAGGCATAAAGCTTTATGTGATAAGAGACAGAGAATCGGAAGGAGGCGCTGTGCTCTTGATGAGCGTATAAGGAGGATGGAAAGAGAGATCCATCGCCTTGAATCTGAACCGCATGAATGGGAGAGGAAGGGTTTAGACATCGTGGCTATCATTCTTACTTGTCTTCGAAGATTCCTCCGCGTGCTGGATAAATGATCTCATCTATCCTTGACAACAGGCGACAGATCCTCTTTTGTTTCATGTTCTTCAGAGTTTCGGAGATTTCCGATGTTAAGGACTGAAGAAAATGAAGAACCGGAGATGAAATCTATCGACCATTCTTCCGGTCTTCTCGATTTACCTTCTGACGAGGTATTATCTTCAGAAAGCTGTTCGGAATCATCCACCTCGCTGGAATCGTTATCGGGCGAAGACTTTTGATCGAACAATTTCTTTGATTTTCTTTTGTTTGTAACGTGCTATTGGGCTAGTGGCCTGACAACATTAATTATATTTCCCCTTTCGCTTTGAATGTGTCGATTTATTTCAATCTCATTTAATGCGTTAATCTAGGGAATATAATTAGCAATTAACTCGATTACATTTTCCATGAAGGTAGTAATTTCAGATTTGGGAAATCGTCAATTGACTCTCTTAAATGTAATTGAGTATTTTTCGAGTATAAGATGGATGTAGTTCATTATTGAGTTTTATCAACAATAATTTTACAAAAATGTTCGAGGAAGGTAATTCTTCAGAGAATCCCTCCGACTCATTCAAAATGATAAGCGATGATCTTCCGGGAACGTCAGACATCGAGCTTGTAAAAAAGGAAGGGACTGGCGAACCAGAAGAGTCGCGTCTATTAGTGTGGGGAACCAGCATGCAGGTTCCGAACGTGTTAATCGAGAGATTATCATCTCAAGATCATGTCAAGGCTGAGGAGTTTATTAACAAGGTATTGTTTTACCTAGTGATTTGACTCCTTTTGTTGTTGCTAAACGAAGTGTTTTATTTTCTTCAACTTATCACTCGGCACAACGAGCTCGAAGGTGAGAAAATTGAGATTAGGAAAAGAAAAATGGAACTAGAGAAGCGTCGCCTCGATATTGCTCGCGAGCTTCATCGCCTCGAAGCCCACCCTTCCGATTGGATCGAGATAGGCCTCCAGGAGTACGGAAACATGCCGGGTTGCATTCTGAGCATCGTTGACTTTGCAGGCCAAGGAGCTAAGCTATTCCGTAATCCAAGACCCTTCTAGATCTGGTTTTTCTTTAAAATAATTCGTTTTTGTTTTAGTTTCAGGTTCGAAATCGAAAATTTCTTCGTAGATCTATCATAATCCGGTAATAATAATCACAAGAATAGCATATTAAAAACTGAGAAAAACTCCTTCCTCTGCTTAAGACCGGCGAGCTCCCAAAATTTTGTCTGTCAAAGGATGCGTTGTATAAACGAGGAGTCAGCGACCCTTACCTACTGTGCGTTTTTGGACCCGAAGTCGAAATTGTCATGAGCGAGGTACACGAAGGTTTATGTGGGAGTCATTCGCCAGGAAGGGCTATGGCTTTTAAAATTAAAAGAATGGGGTATTTCTGGCCCACTATGATCACGGATTGCGTCAAGTTCTCCCAGAGGTGTAAGCGCTGTCAACTTCATGCACCGTTAATCCATCAACCTTCGGAGTTATTCTCCTCCATCTCCGCCCCATACCCGTTCATGAGGTGGTCGATGGATATCATTGGTCCATTGCATAGATCAACTCGAGGAGTACAGTACCTTTTCGTTTTGACAGATTACTTTTCAAAGTGGATTGAAGCTGAAGCATACGTTAGCATCAAAGATTCGGAGGTGAATACTTTCATTTGGAAAAATATCATATGTCGACATGGGGTTCCATACGAGATAGTCACTGATAATGGGCCGCAGTTCATTTCGCACGAGTTCGAAGCTTTTTGTTCGGACTGGGGAATCAAAGTCAGTTACTCTACTCCACGGTATCCACAAGGAAATGGCCAAGCCGAGGCCGCGAACAAGACAATTCTGAGCAACCTGAAAAAACGCTTGAATCACCTAAAAGGAGGATGGTATGATGAACTCCAACCCGTCCTGTGGGCTTACCGCACAACCCCTAGGCGATCTACTGGAGAAACTCCGTTCTCTTTGGTTTATGGCATGGAGGCGGTAGTAACTGCCGAACTCAACGTACCTGGACTTCGCCGAACAGAAGCACCGTTGAATGAAGAAGAGAATTCAGCAATGCTTGATGACTCGCTAGATACCATTAATGAAAGAAGAGACCAAGCTTTAATTCGAATTCAAAATTACCAACAGGCAGCAGCTCGATACTACAACTCCAAAGTCAAAAATAGGCCGTTCTATGTAGGAGATTATGTGCTAAGACGAGTCTTTGACAATAAAAAGGAAGAAGGCGCAGGGAAACTCGGCATTAATTGGGAAGGACCTTACATTATTACCGAAGTGGTTCGCAGTGGCGTTTATAGGTTGAAAGACTTAGAAGATAGGCCAGTCAAGCGACCTTGGAATGTAATCAACCTGAAGAAGTTTTATGTTTAAGAAACACGCGTTTTCACTATGTACATGAACTACGGTGTGGCTTGATCCCGAAATGGGTACGTAGGCAGCTCGGAAACGAGTTCAGCTACTAATAAAAATTTGTTTTATTTTGTCTCTAAAGGAAAAAGTTCGACTATGCGAACGTACATGCATTGGAAACAAAATGACATTTATTCAACAATAAGCAAATAAGACAAAGTGGCGTCACACCCGCACTTCGAATTAGGAGATTCTTCCCGATGAGCAGAACACTTGAACTCCTTGACTAGCTAGATCAAGGATTGGCATCATACAGTCCGGAATGCGAGCAAATTCGGAGATTCCAAGCTCGATCCATTCTCCGGGGTGAGAGCCGAGGATGTGAAGATCTCTTGATATCGCAGTAACCCTGCGTTGCATTCGATGAATCTTTTTCGGAGTTTCTTCCTTTCCAGCGTTAGCTTCCTGTGTTGAACCGCAAGTGCTTTGATGAATGCCATCACAATCTCTTGGTCTCTGTTTGGGAGGTCCTTGATCAAAGCACACGGAGTCTGGATTTGAGACCTGAAGAAGCCGCGGGGTGGAGAAGGCTGCTTACTTGATGCATCTCCGTCCATCATTCCAACCCTGGAGAAATCTGGCATGAACTCCGAACATCGAAGGTTGAATTCCATAACTGCAAAAGTAGAAGAGAATGGTGAGGATTAAAGAGAAGTCGAAGCTATAATTTATAGGAACATCATATCCCTAGTAGGTTGCGGTTTCCATCCTGGAATAGAGTGATTCGCGGAGAGATTTATGCCCCTTAACCAAATCCTGCATTAAAGACATATCTCTGAAAATATTTCAAGAAAAAGGAAAGTAATAAAAAAATTTCCATAAACAAAATGGGCCGAAGCCCATTACGAGTTTAAAAGTGAAAAAGATAAAAACGGAGTTCGGGACATTTATGGAAGGGGCTCAGGAACAGGCTCCTTCATCGCCGGCTTAGCATTCGAAGTGGATGCCTCGTTCTTGCTACCCACTTCGGGCTCGTTCCGGACGCGTTCTGGATGGATGCTGTCCTCCTCCTCATCCTCCTCTTCGCTGTCGGATGAAGCGATCTCGACTGGGGCATTCACGGGCCCCGAAACTTGACCTTTAGCGCGGAGATACATCCAGAGCATCCTCGGGATCTCTGCGATAGAATCGAAGTTCGTCCACTCCCATTGAAAGGGATCGCTCTCCAGAGCTCTCACTTTCCTTTCCACTCGAGCAATGCGAGCCTCGAGTGTTTGCCTTTAAAGACCTAGCCGCTGCCTCTCGTCGCACAAACGGCGATGCTTGTCGACGACCTAGTCAAAGAGACGGTTAAACTAAAAGAAAAAAAAAGGGTGAAAAAGTTTTGACCAAAGAAGACGAATACTAACCTTATCCATAAAATCGCAAGCCTCTTTTTTCTCCTTCGAAGGAAAGTGAAATACGGCGTGGGGAAGATTCTAAAATCGTATTTGATGAAAGTTTAGAGGTAGGTAAGCCTTTATTTATAATGGTTTAGGGTTTGTCTTGGAACCATAAATCAAATAATGGTAGCGTGCCCGAGTGGTTTAAACCATTTTCGAAATAGAGAAAAGGCAGTTATTGCCTTAAAGACGTGTAGCTTTTCCTATTTCCAAGGAGGGTAAAGGGAAAAAGCAACCGTTGCATTTAAGGCAAAAAGCCCATTAAGTTCAAAAAGTTTTGAGGCCCAAGCCCAACAAATTTACCGAGTTGACTAAACCCGAAGTGGGGAACTCGCGTTAAGCCGAGCTCAGTTCTCGCACTCTAAGAGAAAGATCTGATCAGCCTAGGAAAATCTCGAAAGCATAGCCACAAGGCCAAAAAAGCGTTAAAAGGCGGACTTTGCAAACCCGCACATTATTTTAACCAAACCCTCTAGGGATTATAACTTGAAAAGGTTTAAAAGCCTCCTCAGGCAAATATATTATTCAAAAGAAAATAATAATAAAGCCTCCATAGGCGAAAAAACATATCCAATTATAAAAGTTAAGTCTTTCAAATAAATGGGACAAGCCCCAGTTTAAAGTGGACACAGCCACTACATGTTAGCAGCCACCTCGGGCTCATTTCCAGACGGGGCTGCTTCATCCGATTCCGTAACTGGGGCCTTCTCAGAAGAAATTCCTTGCTTACCCCCAACGGCACCGTCGCCTTCCGGGGTAACCACCGGTGCAGCAGGAACTTCAGATGGGGCAGCATCTTCCGGCTCGCTTGAACCTGTGAAAGATGAGTTCGGTTAGGCGAAGACACAAAACATGTAAACGGTGAATGCCGAGAGTAGGAGTTACCTGCCCAATCCAAACCCGATTCACTCAAGGGAGGAGATTCAGTGAAGAACTCCTCGAACTGCTAAGGGTTGAAAGCCGAAGCTGGGAGAGCTGCAAAACGACTTCGCTTTTCAGCCAAGCTGGTCGTCAGTTCGGACCTCTCTTGCTCTTCGGAGAAACCTTCCTCATGAATTTGATCCAACAAGAGTAGGTTGCTCTCGTGTTCCTTGATATCCGATTCCAGCTCCGACCGCGCTTTCTCGGTTTGAATAAAGCGAATAGCTCCCTGAATCAGCTCCATCCTGCGTCCCTTGACCTCCTTTCTAGCCTTCGATGCTGACTTAGCCAATTCAGAATCCCTTAGTTTGACGACCGCTTTGTACTTCGCGTCAAGTTCGATGTATTGGTTGTTCAGAGTATAAGCAGTCGATTCGGATTCAGCGAGTTGGCCCTGAATGGCAGAAAATTCCTCTTGAAGTTGGCAATTCCGGTCGTACTGGTCCTGCAGCTCGCTCTTTGTTTACGAAAGCTCAGATGTGAGACCATCAACTCGGTCTTCCAGTTCGTGCTTGTAATCGGAAGAAGAGCGGAGATCAGCCTCGAGAGTAGAAAGCTTGCTCTTCCACGCCTTGATCTCCTGTTCCCGACTAAGCAGCAGCCCCTCATAGTGTTCAACCATATCATTGAGCTCGCTGTTTGCCTGGCATTTCGCGCAAACCCGGGACGGTGAGTTAATACGAAGGGTAAAAAATAATAATAAATAACGAAGAAACAGGACTAACCCGAGATGAATGGTATGCATGGAGTAAGAAGCGTTCACGAATTGCAGGGCGCCACTTGTCAAATCCGACAGAATCGCACCCGATCGGGTTTTGAAGCATCGGAAGACGCTACCCTTTTTCTCCATAGCTGTGAAGGCAGAAGAAGAAGAGATTGTAGAATTTGGAATCTGAACAGGATGAAAAATTTAAGTATGTATAAATCATTGACAGACCTGAAAGCGATTTGGTTTGGGGGACGAGTACAACTTTCGACTTCGGGGGAGCATCTCGAGGCTCAGTACCCCCTTCTTTAGGAGACGCGCTTCGGGCAGTCTTCTCGCCACTTTTTTGGGGAGAGGAAGACATGTCGACAGGAGGAGGAGGATCCATTGGTTCAGTAGGAGGGGATGATCGAGGGGAACGGTCAGTCCGGGTCCTTGACTTTTCCCTCCGTGGGGAGAAACCACTGCGAGATGACCTGTCTCTCTTCTTGCGAATTAAATTCTTAAGCGGTTCGTTGCTTAAATCATCTCGGGGGGACGAGGAGAGTCACGATGAGGAGATCGAGAACGATCATCACGACGTTCATGACGAGGTGTCAATCTGTAAGCAGCGACGGATCTGGCACCTTCAGTGCTACGGTCGTCCACAAGCAAGGTCCTACTATAATCTTTTTGTCAATGGCGGTCGCAAGGAACGCCTTGTTCTCCTCGCAAGCCTCAATTATCGGCTTGGAGAGCATCTTGCGCTGGGCAGTGAGGGCCCGAGCTGACATTCTCTGAGTAGAGGGAGGAGGCGGAAGTCGATGAAGTTGATCAGGAGGGCTCATCCTGAGTTTTTGATTGGCCTCAATGAACCGATCGATGGTGAAAGAATTCCAAAGGGTTTCCCCTTCGAGGATTATTTTGAAGAATCCGACGAATTCTTCAGATGGGAGAGTCGGAGCGACGAAAGTTGCGAAGTGAAACAACGAGTTTAATCAATAGAAATAATAAAACAACCGGGAAAAATATATGCGACCTAATTTCTACTAGGCTTCGCAGACCACGTCGATGGGAGTAAATCTGAAAGATTTCTAATCGAAGCGGGAGTTTTCTTAATCAGGAACCAAGGATGGTGCCAATTTTCATCCTTGTTCGGAAGATGCGAGATGATGTTCCTGTTGGCGTTCGGGTACGCTGAGAAGTACCCCGTTTTCTTCGACGAACTTCTCACGCTTAGAAGCTCGTTCAGCTTGGGGACTCCAATAATATATCCGGCCTCCACCGCTACTGTTATAATTCTGAGGATGGTTCGTAGAAGATTGGGGGTTAATTGAGGAAGAGCGATCTTGAGAGCCGCCAGGTATCGAACTAGGGCTTCGGGAAGGGGGAAGGTTAATCCGCAGCCCTTGAAGTAGATCTCGTATACACAGAAGTAGCCGCCGTGGTGGTTTTCTGGGGATTCCGTGGGGTCGGCTATTTGTGCTTCCGCCATAATTCCCGGCGGAATCCGGTAAAGCTCCTTCAATCGCTTGAGGGATTGAAGAGTACAGGTGGATTTGAAGTGCGGACCAGCGATGTCGTTAGGACGGGTGCACTCGTCATTACTAGAATGTCTATCGTCGAATGACGGAGACTCGGGTCTATCGGAATCGGAAGTCATTGAGAAAGATGGAAAATTCAAGTTTTGGGAAAGAGAAGTTTGGCGAAAGGAGCAAAGAAATTTGACGAGGAAAGCAGAGAGAAATTTTGATTAAACGAGAAGAGTAAAAGTAAAAATGAAAGAATTACCTCACGCAAGCTAAATGGAGATCATGGAACCGCCTCGGGAGTCGTGGGGGAAGTGGGAAGGTTTTCCCTGTTTTAATAGTAATTAATTAACATACGGTCATAATGATGACAGATGTCATACAGTTAAAAATGGATAGTGCCGAAATTAAAGAAGCGATGGGATTTTCGGCGGGAAATCAGAAGATTCTCAAGCGCAATCTTTGGTCATTAAAGCATTAAAATCTTCCGAACTAGAGTGGCACTTCGGAAGAGTTTGGGGGCTAATTGTTGGTGTCGGATCCCGCACGGATGGTTCAAGACCAACCAAAGATTGCCACATAGGTAGAAGAGAAGCCCACGAGGGATAAGACCCACTAGATCCTCAAGCCAAAGGCATGGGCGAGGTGGTTACACCGCGAAGAGAGATCGAAGTGGGTGCACCTCGAGATGAGAACGAAGTCGAAGTCAAGGGTATTTTGGTTTGGGACTTTTTGGGCTAAAGGGCGAAGCCCACGAAGAACGGAGTCAATTCAAATTCAAACGTTGGAACATTAAATTTGAAGACTGAAACGGGCACATTTAAGATAAAATAATTGTATTTAATTGGGAGTTAAATGTCATTAGCAAGTATAAATATAAGGGCCAAAGGTCATGTAATACACACGCAATTCTTTCTAGCAATTACACTATAGCTTTTTCTTAATTCATAGCTTTTGTGCAACAATTTCTATACTCAAGAGTATTCATTCTCACTAAATAAATAAATACTTGAGTGTGTGAATCCGACATCCACAATCGTCTCAGTGAGCATTTAACGAAAGAAGGATATGTTAATGATCCTATATGCCCATGTGTTTTCATAAAGAAAACAAATTCCGGATTTGTGATAATCGCGGTTTATGTTGATGATCTATACATAATCGGGACTTAAGCAGAAATACAGAAAGCAACAAACTATTTAAAAGGGGAATTTGAGATGAAAGATCTCGGACAAACAAAATTTTGTCTTGGCCTACAAATTGAACGTACTCAAAAGGGTATATTTGTTCATCAATCCACATACACCAAAAGAGTGTTAAAACGTTTTAATATGGATAAGACAACTCCTCTCAGTACTCCAATGGTCGTTAGATCACTTAATGTTGAGAGTGATCCATTCAGACCACTTGAGGAGAATGAAGAGATACTCGGTCCTGAAGTACCGTATCTAAGTGCAATTGGAGTCCTTATGTATCTTGCAAATTGCACTCGACCTGATATATCATTTTCAGTCAATCTTTTGGCTAGAATTAGTTCATCCCCTACACGAAGACATTGGAATGGGATTAAACATGTCTTTCGTTATCTTCAAGGGACTATTGATTTAGGGTTATTTTATCCTAAAAATATAAATGATCAAATGATTGGTTTTGCAGATGCAGGATATTTATCAGA